GAGAAGAGGACGCTGGCCAACATGCTGCCGTTCGGGCGCCAATCAGCAGGCGGACTGGAGCAGAGGAGGGCGGGGTTTCCCACCATTCCTGTTCTCTAAAGGGGCGGTCCTAGGGTTTGATGAGGGCGTGGCCAGGTTTGGGTGGGGGCGTGGCCAGGGGAGGGAGGTGAGTTCCACCACCTTTTCTCTGAGAAAAAAAAGCCCTGGTCAAAAGTATTGATGTCAACATCTTTTCCGTACTCCACTTCAGGTTTTAGCAATGGCAGCATCTTCATATCTGCGTTTAGCAGCAATGGCATCATCATCATATTGTTCTCCATTTAATATTAATATTATATTATATTGCCTTCTGGCTAATGTGTTCTACCACCTCTTATAACAATCCAGAACAGAGTAAATTTGAGAAAAATGATATATTTCTAAGCCCAATAGATAGCTTGGCAGAAGTTGGAAAAATTTCCAACATATACCGGTAATGAGCAGGGAAAATTTCTTAACATATAAGAGAGGGAGCTAGAAGGTAGGGCAATTGGCAGGAATTTTATCACTTCACCACAAAAAATGAGAGGTGGTGGAAACATCAGGGGTTTAACTAAGTAGGAAGGGGTTGGAGGGATTACTGGTTCTATTCTGTTCCATTTAGATTTCAATTTACTGTGAATTTGTTTCTCTTGTTCCACCCAAAATACTCTCTCACTAACAAGACAGATTAAACACCAGCCTAGATACAACTACAGAAAGAGGTTAACATAAGAAGACTGTGATTATGTTCCTTTGAACTGAAGCTTGTTAACTTTACAGTAGTGCTAAGCTTTTTAGTAAACAGTTATAAATTACCAAGAAGGGCTCAAAATATTTTGCTGCCTGAAACAATGTGTGTTGTCCCCATTCTCCACTTCTACTCCAGGAACAGATATTACATAAACTAGCAACTGGTCAGGACCCTCTGCATTACACTTACAAATAGCATGCTAGTTAAGGAATGAAAAATAAACTCTAAGATATTGGCGTGGCTGAGGGTTCTGGAAGAATAATTAGGAAGCTGTTACTACTCTAAAGACATTCTACGTTAGTCAATTGCCTACTTCTACCTAGTGACAAGAGTTCTGAATTTTGTCCTTGCTGGACCTTATATCAAGTCCCAATATTACACATGGCTCATCAACAGACACAAGGGTTATACCTGCCACCAGTTGGGATCATCCTGATTGACAATCTGAAGAAGATCTCCAGCTACAAATTTCAGACCAGCTTCCTTGCATGGAATGAGGTTGTCAGTGACTGGATCATAGTCAAAATGTGCCTTCACAAATACCTGAGGGAGGAAAAGGAAGCTGTGTGAGAAGAATTGTTTCGTTATATATATATATATATAAATTTTATTAAGAATTGTTATTATAATAATAAAACCTAAAACAAATTGAAAGAAAACAGAATAGAAAGAAGTAAAAAGTGCACGAAAAAAGAGAAAAAGTTGGAATATGAAAAGAACAGAAAAAAGAAATATATTTCCAAGTTTTATCATAACAACTATAAATAAATTAATAACTCTTCACTCCCTCTAAGGCTACGAACTTCTCTTCATCCCTTATTCTAGTTGGATAAGAAGAACTGTGAAGAATGAGAATCAAAGAACTGATCAAGAGTCACTGAACTCTAACTTATCAAGTCTGAAACAAACAAACAAACAAAACCTGGAGATCTTTAGTGTATTGAGATTTGTTACTGACTCATTAAGCATTCTGTGATCCAGTATTGTTGCCTGATTACTTTGACTTGCTTGATATAGCGTAATGCTTTGGAAATAATTCTTCTAGAAGCCTCAATAAGGTAAGCACCAGAAAAACTGACTCCTGGCTCTACTACGTTTTTCTTGATCAGAAGAAAAAAATCAAGATTCACCGTATATTGCACAATTGGCTCCACAAAAGTAGGAATACAGAATGTAAAGCTAATGCAGTAAAATTGTTTAAAATATGAAAGCGAGAGGAGATGAGGTTGCTTTCTCTTTGGTACAATTTACTAATAAATTGCTTACAACTGAACATAGTAGCATCAGGAATAGCAATAAAGAATGCAGTAATTCATTCCTGTATTTTCTCCGCTATAGATATATTCAGGGACAGGTTTATTCTGACCAATATGAGTATATTTTCCTAATACATCCAGATCCACATCTTTTTCTCAGCTGCTTTTCTTAGAATTCATGTTTTTTTACACAACCCAGAATTGCACCTCAAAATCCAAAGAAGCGTGCAAACAGCTACCCGTATTCTTAGCTACACTTTCATCTGAATACATTGGGGTAACTGAGATTGCTTATGCACATGGCTTGATGTAACTTTTCTCCATTGCTAACAACAGCCCTCTTGTGACCTGAAAACGACAATCCAACAATCAAAGTCATAGCCTACATACAATAAAAAAATCCACAAAACAAGAGCATGGCCAGTATAGGATCCATTCTGCCAGTTGTCTCTTTTTTGAACAATGGATCCTGGCAGTGGAAGGCAGCAAATGAAAAGCACTTGTAGGGTTTTTATTTATTTTTTTCTTGCATCATAGACTCCTTTTATTTGCACTCCAGCCAGCACAAAACCGTTGATGTCTCCGGAGAAACAGTCGTATCTGAGCCTGTCTGTACAGGACATTTCATTCACACTCCTCTTCCTCCACATACAAAAGCTTGCAGAGATGGAACAAAGACTGGGATTTGCGAAGGAACTCTGAGACGCGATACTTCTTCAACAACAAAGGTAGAAAGAAATTTCAGCTCATCTCTTCCCCAAATCTCCATTTCTGGATTTTCCCTCAACATTTCTACAATGCATAGCATTGAGAATTCAATTCTGTCTTTTATAGTAAAAGAGAAATGGATGTGTAGGTCATTGGAAAAGAAAATGGAGACTGGGGTTTCATTGGCTGAAAATAGTTGTACATGTGCTGTAGGAATAGTCTGAGTCATTGAAATTAGACTAATGTCACTGTCCAAACATAAATTGCAGTGAAGCCCAAGGCAGAGGCTGAAAATGACAAGGCATATTTTATTGTGAAGCTACTTTTAATTTAGTAAAAGTTAATTCATGTAGCTGTAGCTTGACAATTTTGCTGGTGTTAGCAAAGCACGGAAGGCCACAGTGAGGGGAAAAGGCAATTTATAATAGAGGACTTAAGTGGAAGCCATGTTTAACCCTTTCCTCTATCTTTTTTCTCTGTTGTAAATTGCATCCACAACTGTCATTCCGAAGTGGAATTCAAATATCCCCCTGTGATGGGCAGGCAATGACCATTTCATCCATCTCATCTTCATCCCCCTTCCAAAAAAGGTTGAAGCACCAAAGCTAAATACATTACCCATTCTCAACTGACCTTTCCACCATAGTAAAGTGTATCTGTACTCAATTATAGCTAGAGAAGCTTCCTCCACACAAGTATAGCCTTACAAATGCATTTGCATTAAAAAAAAAACCTTACTGGATTTCTGTGTGCCTTAGTTAGCTATCATCTATTTGTTATGCTCACTGATGGGAAATAAGAAGGCTGTATTAGCAGCTAGCACAGAAGTCTTCAATATGGTATGTGGGGACACCAATGAACCTTCAGTCAGAACTCATAGAATGCATATGGTTCTTTGCTTCTCCTATCTTTAATAGTATATAGATTTTTCTATACAAAAAAAAGATACTTGGCTCTAGTACACAGTAAAAATCCAAACTTTAGTAACATTTTTAACTCCAAAAAAAAATAAAAAATCCTCAGTATGACAATCATGCTTAGCTGATTTCTGACCTTCCTGTCTTTCTCCTCCCAAAAGTTAATGGTAAACTGAGAATGACAGAGTACATTTGAAGAAGTGAAGGGATAGCAAAGATTACATATTTATTTTCTGGTAAACTGGTGTTCACTCATTGGCTATATCTACCATAACAAAAAATTCAGAACCGTCACCTTCCAACCAATTTAGGTGATGCCCAAAGCGCATGTCCAGATCCTAAAAAGGTCAGGAACATATGATCTAGATCAGACATGTCAAACACAAGGCCCGGGGACCGGATGCGGCCCATGAAGTGGTTTCATGTGGCCCGCGAAGCCATCCTGGAAACAGTGAGGGAACAGCCCCCGCTGCCTTGGCCCTGGCCAGCCAGGAGCCAATGTACAATTTTGTGGTGGCCATCTATGCTGAAACGCATTCAGTCTTAGCTCCACAAGGCCATCTGGAAACAGCGAGGAACCAGCCCCTGCCTTGTCGGCCCTGCCCCCTGGGTGCATGCTGGGGAGGTGTCACCCTTTGTGAGGAATGAAGAAATGCACCATCGCCTGGAAGTGGCCAGCAAATGGCCCTCGCCTACTTCACCTATTCGGCTTGATGGGCTCCGGGAGAGGGGTTTCGGCAGGCAACGATGAGCTCTCCTCACAGCGCCAAGAGGCAGAGCCAGGTGGCACAAATCCAAAAAGAAGCGCGAGGCCGCCCAGCCCCCAGCCTTCCCGGTTTCGGCAGGCAGTGGGCGCCTCCTCACAGCGCCAAGAGCTGAGCCAGGTGGCGCGAATCTGATGAGAAGCGTAATGCTGCCTAGCCCTCAGTCTGCCCAGTTTCAACAGGCAGCAAGGTTCAAAGCTGACAAGCTTTGCACCGCTCGGTTCAACCTCTCGGCGCTGTGAGGAGAGCGCTCCGCTGCCTGCCAAGACCAGGCAGGCTGGGGGCTGGACGGCATTGCGCAGGTAATGTTGACTCTCACACTGCTCATGGCATCCCCTCTCCCAGAGCCCACCAAGCCAGATATGTGAAGTAGGTGAGGGCCCTGTACTGGCCACTTCCAGGCGATAGTGCATTTCTTCATTCCTCACGAAGGGTGATACCTCCCCAGCTGTGTTTCTTGCCTGTTTTTCTCCCTCCCTCATCTCAAATATTTTCCCACCACTCTGTACTTAGGAAGGAAGGAAGGAAAGAAAGAGAGGGAGGGTCTGAGGGAACTCCTGTCTTAGTCCTGCTCCGCTTGCCCCCTCCTCCTGGCTTATCCTGGGGATCTCTCATCCTATTGCTAAGGAAACTTTGGATACAAAGTTTGTCTACTCTCATGGAGAGGGAATGGGCCTCCCTCTGACTTTGCCCTTGCATCCATCATGAGCAACCTGGCTAAGGAGAGCAAGCACAGCAGCAGCAGCCTTGAGGAGGAGGTAAGTGCAGCTGGGCACCCCCTTGGGGAAGTGGGGCTGGGCTTGGTGCCGAGGGTGCTCGAGGGCCAGGCTGGGCATTTGACCTCTGCTTCCCGGCAGTCCGCACCAGCATCCAGCCCCCCCCCACATGGCCTGAGAGGAACAGTGAGGCTCCTCCAGTGGACCATGCCTTAGAACTTGCCCTGGTCCCACCCCCTTCTGCTAGAGACCCTCAGATCTGTCCCACTCCTGCCCAGGCCCCCACAGGCACCCTTGATGTGAACGATGTAGAGCTGGCCATGCCCACCCAGTAGGCCACACCCACTCCATCCACACCCACCCAGTAGGCTGCACCCACCCTGGCCACACCCACCCGCCCCCCCAAAGGCAACCGCAATGCTGATGCGGTCCTCAATGAAATTGAGTTTGACACTCCTGATCTAGATAGACAGAAACTTGATTTCAGCTATTGTCTAATAAAAAGATATTCATAAAAAAAATAAAGTTAACCCCTAATAACAATGACTACTATTAGGCTATTAATGGGCAAAGGTTACACATAATGTAGCAAAATTTTGCTCTTTTTTGGAGAGATAGATTTATCATGGTTATCTAACAAATAATGCAAATAAATATTATTAGAGTTCCACAGAAATTTAAATAAAAAGGGGTAATCCACTGATGATGAATGTCCCTATAGACACTGGCAGTAGAAAAGAACATGGGCTTTGGTTTTATAACACCTGTTTACAGGTTTCATGCAATATACTAAAGGTAATTCAATAAGTTTGGATTGGATAGAACTGGAGAATGGAAGACAAGAAACAAATGTCTGCAAGAGCTTGCCACAGTGTGGTTTATCTGGTTTTGATTTATGGTCTTGTATAATTTTACCAATTGTAGTTTATTGAATAAACCACTGTTATTTAACTTTGGCTTAGTGCAATGTACTAATCTGATTTTATAGTCCAATCTTGTGTTCCAATCTTTCTCAGCCTGCTCCTTCCACAAGTACCGGAACCTCTTTTGGTCATACTGCTGGGGAATTATGAGATTTGTAATCCCAACACATATGGACAGATACAGGTTTAAGGTTAACTTTTATACAGATAGTGGTACTCACTTATATGGCAAACAAACAAGTATTGATCAGTTTTGAAGTGCCCTAGGAAGTTTTTTTTTCCATGTTCTTCTGTACTCTGAAGAACTCTGAGACAAGACTGGTTTATGCTGAAGAATAGCTCAGTTTAAAGCTTTGCCTTCTAACCAGGAATTTGCTCATAGCAGTTATCAGCTCGTCTAGGATTATATTAGCAAAGGAATGTGTGGGAAACCTGTAGTTTTTCATTGTCATGATGACATTAGTGGGCCATACAGGTAACTGAGTTGACATCTGCTTATTAAATTCTTACACCACTTTGCCCAAAACACTCATGCATTAATTCGTGTTTAAATCTCTCTGCATGACATAAGGAAAGCTCCATGTGGTGGAGCAGAATGAAAAGTATCTTGGCTAAGGGAAAACAGGGGTGGGGAGGACTAGGACAGGCTAAGTCCCCAGATGTGTCTCTTTCCCCTAAGCAGAACTTGTCAGGAATAAAGAGTGACAGCATTCAGCTACAATTAGGATAAACACACATGTTGATTTCTGATATGTCACTTTCATTCACTTTGGCCCATGATCCCATTCAAGTTCTGTATTAAGGTGTTACGGAATCTCTGGCATTTTCTCTTCCTGGTTAAGCACATTTTAAGAGTGATGCTCCACATGCCAACTCTGAGAGGAGGAAAAGTCCCTTGTGTTTCACCTCTATATACACTGATGTACTTTTTAATTTTATTTTTTTAATTTAAAATGTTTATAGAGACACTTGAAGGGCATCAGATTTCCTAACTCTAATTTAGTGAATCAAATGAAAACAAAATTGAATTACTCCTTGCAACCGTTATTTAACAAGTTTTGATAATTCAGAAATAACTGAACAGCAATACAGTCAGTTGAAAAAATGGTTACATTCTTGAGCTCAAATATATTGGCTTCCTTGGAAATCCCTGTGAACTTGGATGCATTGGAGATCATTTTTTTTTTCCAGGAGATAAATCAGGAATCTTTTTACCAACACTTTTAAAACCCTACTGCAGGGCTTTTCAACCTTTTCACAGATTGTACCACTTTTAGGACATGACAATATTCGAGTACCACCAGTGTTGAGCAAGATGTCAAAAACTTGATGACTGAAAAATAAAGGCGCGGGATTTTGGGTTTTACTGATTAGATTTATTTGTTGTTATAGAAATGGCTAGTTTATACTACTATGGAAAAGTAAAAAGTTGAGGTTCGATGTTCATTCTACTGCAACAGAGGAAGTCGGAAGTCAATAACCTTTTCTTTTTCCCTTCTCCCCCTCACTTTTTTCCTCCTTCTTCCTCCCCACTGTGTCCTACTATTTCCTTTTGTATTTTTGTACTTTATTCCATAATCTAATAAAATGTTACAAACCGTAAAAAAAAAGGAAAAAAGTACCGGTTTTAATTTCTTCGGTGGTAGTTCCTTTGCTCTCAGGCCACACGGAGGACCCCCGGCAGTGCAGGCTGCCCAGAGCCCTGGGCAGTAGAGGGCAAGCGCCCAGCTCAGCCCAGCCTTCCCCAAGGCTCCCCCCCCGGCTGCATTTACTTTCTCCTTGAGGCTGCTGCTGCTTGGCTTTCTCTCCTTGGCCAGGTTGATCATAGTGTGTGCAGGAGGGCAAAATGTGTGGGTCAGAGGGAGGCCCAATCCTTCTCCATGTGAGGAGATCTGGCTTTGTAACCAAAGCATCCTCAGTGATAGGATGGGAGACCATCAAGAGAGTTAGGAGGGGACAAGGGGATGGCAAAAGGACAGCAGGGCTGGTCGTGGCCAAGTGCTAAGGCAGGACTTCCCTCAGACCCTTCCTCCCTCTCATTATAATCTCCTTCCTTCCTTCCTTCCTTCCTTCCTTCCTTCCTTCCTTCCTTCCTTCCTTCCTTCCTTCCTTCCTTCCCTGTTTGTTTTTTTAAAACTGCCAGAGGATCTGGGCAGAGGTGGAAACAGGCAGGCAGCAGTGGGCAGAGGCTTCACATTTTGACCACTCCCCCATGTTGTTGCCTCTGTGTGGCTCTCAGCTCACCTATCCCAGACCCTTGCATTTGTTTGTGTGTGTGTGTGTGTGTGTGTGTAGGTTGGGGGGGGGCTTCACCCCTTGCAGCCCTGCGTCCTCAACAGAGACCTTCTGCGATGGCAGGCTGCAAACTAATGAAAGCTGTTTTTGGGAGTACTTGTTTCTTTTTCTCAACGTGTCACTGATCACATCGCGCCCTGCGCCCCTCAGCTCCCACCCCCAGCCCCGTGGAAGGCTGCAAGAAGCTCCCATCGCAGCTTCTCATATCTGCTCCCCTTCTTTTCCTCCCCAATGCCACAGCATTGGGCTGCAAGAGGTGAGACCTCCCCACGTGTGTACACACACACACAAACAAACACGTGCAAGGGTCTGGGAGAAGTGAGCTGAGAGCCAGGCAGAGGCCCTTCAGGCACAGAGGCAAGGATGGGAGGAGGAGTCAAAATGGGAAGCCTCCTGCCTGGAGGCCCCCAGGGATGCTGGGCCTCGCACGATCACTGCCTCCTCCCATGCATGGGCCCAAGGGGTGGGACTGAGGCGGCGCAGCCCCATGGATCTAAGGCTGAGTGCGTTCTGGCTTTGATGGTAGCTACAAGGTTGTAAATCAGCACCCGGTCAGCCTGGGCCGGCCTCTCTTCTTTCTGAGCGGTCAGCAGGGACAGTGGCGCTTGCCGCCTCCAGTGCGCGTGGCCAGGGGGCAGGGCGGGGGCAGCTCCTCGCTGGCCCTTTCCTGCCAAAACCTCCTCTTTTTATATCCTTTCCTCTCTCCCCCTTCCTTTTCTGTGCACCTTTAGCTACGCGCTGCTTTTGGAAGCGCCAATCAGCTGGAGCCCGGCACTGAGACCCGACAGCTCTGCAGAAGCACCGATCAGCTTGAAGCCATGTACGCAGATCCTGGGGCCTCTGCCGAGCCCTGACAGCCCTGCAGCTTCAGCTGTCTCTCCCTCAAGGCTTCTGTGACGCTGACGCTGCTTCAGCTCATTCCTCTCCCCTCCACTACCATGTCTCCAGGACGGTCACATACCACCGGCCAGGTGCCAAAGTACTACCAATTAAAAAGCCCTGCCTTACTGAAATAGATACGAATGATATACAAGAAATTTAGAATAGAGGACTGGAGTTCCCTATACTACAAAATCAGTGATCTCAGATTTTAACACACAATTACCTTTTTTATAATCTTAGCACAAGGTTAATTACAGGTAGTCTTCAACTTATGACCACAACTGAGCCCAAAATTTCTGTTGCCCTATTTTACAACCCTTCTTGCCATAGTTGTTGAATGAATCAGTGCAGTTGTTAAGTTAGTAGCATGGTTGTTAAGTGAATCTAACTTCCCCATTTGCATGTCAGAAGGTCACAAAAGGTGATCACATGATACCGGAACATTGCAAGCATCACAAATATGAGACAGTTGCCAAGCGTCTGGATTTTGATCATGTGACCATGTGGGGATTCTGCAATGGTCATACGTGTCAAGAAACGTTATGTTACTTTTTTCAGTGCCACTGTAACTTTGAATGTTCACTAAACAAATGGTTGTAAGTCAAGGACTATCTGTAATCAAAATTATATGTCAGATCACTGGACCAATTAACTTTTAAAAAACAATATCAAACTCTGCTTTGGAGATATTCCTTGTTTTTTTCTTATTGGTTTACTATTCATGCTGTGGTGAACCAAATTCAGGGAGCTGATTTAAGCTGTGTTGCTAAATTATATTCCAAAACCTTGGAATTTGTCTATTTATTAAGAAATTTGAATTAATCATGCCTGAACTGTTGTCAAAATTTATCATATGTTCCTGGAAAGACATATGTGTACTGGATACCAAAGGTTGGCTTGATAAAAATGTCAACTTTCACTTTTTGAATGAACTCTTTTCAGAATATCCATTGGATGATATAATTTCATGTGGTCAAGATTTGTTGCTAAAGATGAGTTGTAGCAGTTCTTAAATAAACATAATTAGTCCTGTCATAATTGATTTAGCATTTTTCTTTTGCTTTTAATATAATAGGTCTTTAATGTCTTCTTTTATTTTATATGGGTTCACTTATTTTGTTTTTGCTTTTCTAGATGTATAAAATAATAAATACTATCAAAGATATGTTCCATATTTTACTCTAATTAGGAAGAATAATGATCACAGGTAGCAGTATCACACTGAGGAGGTGGGATGAGTTCTCCTACCTGGCGTGGTGGATGTGGCTCCTGATAACTGGGCAGGATCTTGAGTACAACACTTCCACTTGCATTTTTTAGCACTTCTTGGAGGGCTCGTGGATCACTGCCCACCTCTTGCCCATTCACCTCCTTGATAATATCACCCACATGCAGCAACCCCTGCTGATCAATCATGCCACCGTGTAGGATACGTGCAATAACCAGCTCACCACGCTCCACACGGAAAGTCACACCCTAGGACGAGAGAAACAAATGCAAACCCAGGGACCTTGGATGATTTGAAAAAACAACTCTAAGCTAAAGTCAAACTTGGTTATAGGCTACAGGCTAGGCTGGGAAGTTTTTTTAAAAAAAACCTACCTCTTGAATGAAAGAATGACATACTAGTTCCCTGTTATTTTTAAAAAAATAAGATAGATGGACCCTGTAGTTTCCAGGAGTTGACTTTAATTCAAAAGTCTTTGATGGTGATAATTACATGCCATTAGGTCATAGATACTTTTTAACACATAAATTTTCTTCACAAACATCTGTCCCCAGCCTGGCCTTCAGATCTTCCAATGGTGCATCTATCACCACTGTAACCAAGTACACCACTCCTGCTGCTGATTCTTCTCTGCTCTCTCCTTCCACTTTTCTCAGCATGAGACCCTTCCCTAGAGAGCTAGGTCTTTGCATAATGTGTCCGTAGTAGGATAATTTGAGTCTGGTCATTCATGCCTTGAGAATTCAGGTAGGATATGCTCAATGATCCATTGATTTGTTTGCTTACTTATCCTTTCCTGGAACACACACACCTACACACACACACAAAAATGAGATAGCACAGCAGGATTTGATGGGGGAGCTAAGAGTCTTTACCTTTCTAATATTCATATAATGTTTCGCCTTTTCTGTTCAGTTACAAGAGCATCTATTACTCATCCCTTAGATACCTCCCTCATGAATTGCAAAATGCAGTCAATTGTTGTATTGTGAAGGGGGACAGTTTGAGACTGGCTGAGAAGAACACGCAGAAATTCTCCTAAGCTTCTCCAAGCTTCATATTCTTTTTTTTTTCTTTAAAGGTGAATTTTCCTTTTTTTAATTTTTATTTTCCAAATACATGTTATAACATCTATAAAGAATATAAGATAATGGTAATTTAGGGGGGGAAATGAAATGTGGACAGATAGCCAACACATCTTGAATAGGAAATCTAAAATATCATATAGTTAATATATTTTACTACATAATGAAAAATTTTAAATGCTATACGGCAGTGATGGCGAACCTTTTAGAGACTGAGTGCCCAAACTGCAACCCAAAACTCACTTATGCATCGGCGAGTGCTGGGTGGGTGTGGCCCATTGGCTGGGTGTGGCCAATTGGGTGGGTGTGGCCCATTGGGTGGGCGTGGCTGCGGTGGTAATAGCAGACTGGGTGGGACTAAAAAATTCAATCAATCAATTCCAACTTTGCAAGATCTTTTTTTTTCCCGCAAGGAGTTGAAATTGACTGATTGAATCTTTTTTTTTTTGCACACGGCAGTGGAGGCCTAAAGCAAAAAGGTTTTATAAAACCCAGCTGAAGGCCTAGGACTGGGGCGGCGGCGCGCGTGCCCACACTGAGGGCTCTGAGTGCCGCCTCTGGCACCCGTGCCATAGGTTCGCCACCACTGCTATACGGAATTTCATAAAAGTGAATTTTCCAAAGCACTTTCACAGCAATAGATGTTAGAGGCATCAGCTGGTCAGCGATGAACACAGCCAGGAATTCTATGGGAAGTACATGTTCATTTAAAATGTACTACATAAGTAAAACTAAATAAAACAGTTCAGAAACACTTTAAAAACAATGATAGATGACAGCAAAATTAGAAGCAGAAATTATAATGACAACGAATCCCCTTCCCTTCTATTCTCTTTTTCTAAGTCAGATATTTTCAAAACTTTAAGCATTCTTCACACTCTCTGATCTTTCAGTTCCTCTCTACATTTTCGTCCCATATCATGTACCTGCATAACTGGCTAGCAATTTATATCAATTTATATTGACTCAGGAATAGACTGCACTGTCTGATTATTTGGAAATAATTCAATTTATTTCTACACAATTAGATTTAATTTATTTCTGAGCAATTAGACTCAGACCTCTCCATTAACAAAAGATGAATTTTCATTCTCGTGTCAAATAACATAAATCTGCTTAAACCAAACCTTTTTTTGTTTTATAACACTTTCTTCCGGTATCTGATAGGTTTTTCAATACTATCAAATATTAGATGGTAAGCTCTTTGAGGCAACAATTTTGTTCTATGTTTTTGAACATAATTTATGTTGACACTATACAAAAGCCAACAACTGGTATAAAATTCAACCTGTGGAAGTATTTGCTCACCAGGTGTTCTCCAGCAGTCTTACGAATTCCCACCATGCGTACAGCATCTGGTGGAACTGGCTGGTTGTTGAACATGGGGTCCAGGACAGGACTGGGTGGTGGAGTCTCGTAGCTCTTAGAGGCAACAGAATCATGGGTTTCCAAAAGGGACTGAGAAAAGGGAAAGAAAGTGATAGCAACAGAGCAAAGGGGGGGGGGGGGGGAAGGAAAGCCATAATCAGCTGAGATCAGAAACTGGCAAATCAAACATATGGGGGGGTGACTAAGGTTAGGATGGGCAATGTCAGTGGGTATCCAAATGGTCTTGAATGCCAATGCCCATCCAGGTAGGCTATCCAATAGGAAGTCAGCATTAAAGTAGAAGAATACATTTCCCAAGGAAATACTGCAAGCTGTTAGCTCAGTCATAAAACATTTAAACACAAAGAAATGTTGATTATAACATTAAATGAGTTTAAAAGTGAAACAATTAGAAGATACTCTTACATCCAGAAAAGGTAACATTCCAACAGTGATTGTTCTTAAAGACTGCTTTAATTTAATAAGCTATTGCATTTATAGTGCCACTCTCATTTTTGCCATCCTGAGTAATTTTACTACAATCAAATCAACTATTAGATTAAATATATTGCATAGATTCAATGTATATTGTGTATGGACATGGACTTGTATATTGTAATTTAATAATATAATTTACAGGTTAGAGACATTGCATCCTTCCCCCTTTTTTTAGGACAATCTTGCTGGCTCTTATACTGTGCTGAGCAATCTATACTTCAGTGAAACTGTGTTTCACCAAGGATTAGCCATTTGGCAACCTGGAAACTTTTGCCAGTCTACCTGCCTCTTTGTGGATGACTGCCTGTCATGATGAGGACCTCCTGCAGGGCTGGGTGCTGGTCAAAATTAAAGTCCCTCTGGAAAAACTCCTTCAATTTTCCAAAGTAGTCCTTGCTTACTGACAATCACTCAAAACTTTCAATAAGCAATGTGGTCATAAGGTACAACATCATGTGACGGCACTGACTTACAATGCCATTTCCAGTAGTTCCAGTTGCCCTTGCTAGGCAAATCCCACATAGTCGCATGTCCCGCGATCATCATTTGCAACCTTCTGGAGACTTCCCCATTGACTTTGCTTGTCAGAAGCCAGCAGTAATGGTTGCAAATAGTGATCATATGACCATGGCATACTGTGATGTCATAATTGCAAGCCAATCACAAAACATGCCAAATTGCAATTGCATGACCATGGAGATGCTGCAATAGCTTCATCCACAAGGATCTGCTGTAAGTACCCCATGCTCATAACTTCAAATGGTCACTGAACATGTGAGGATGGCTACTCTAACAGCCTCCTATCTCACTCAAATAATTTTGGTACCTACTTTCTGGCACACCAGAACATCCACTCTGCTGGTTCCAAAGTCCAGAATGGTGACTCAATAAGAGACTCATCTTTGCCATTTTGTTCACGATTTTAGATCTGTAAACTAGTTTGTGATTCCAATTCATCTTATTATTCCTGTTCCCAGCATAGTCCTTGCTTCTGTTCCTCCAGGTGCATCTCACTTTTCTTTTGTGGACTTTGGTCTTTTTTTTAGGTTGCCTATATCCTAATATACTGTGGCTGAGCGACAAAGAATTGAGACCTTTGAACTATGGTGCTGGAGAAGACTCCTGCGAGTCCCTTTCACTGCAAGGCGTTCAAACCGGTCAGTCCTAGAAGAGATCAACCCCAATTGCTCTTTAGAAGGCCAGATCCTGAAGTTGAAACTCAAATACTTTGGCCACCTAATGAGAAGGAAGGACTCACTGGAGAAGGGCCTAATGCTGGGAAAGATTGAGGGCAATAGAAGAAGGGAATGACAGAGAATGAGGTGGCTGGATGGAGTCACTGAAGCAGTAGGCGTGAGCTTAAATGGACTCCAGAAGATGGTAGAGGACAAGAAGACTTGGAGGAATGTTGTCCATGGGGTCGCGATGGGTCGGACATGACTTCGCAATTAACAACAACAACAACATATCCTAATATACAATACTGTATCTGTTTCCTTTCATCTATCAGAAACACCAATGTACTATGCTTGGCTGCCCCAGGGATTCCAGAATCCTTCAGTCTTGTCCTTCTATGAAAGAGCTACTTGGTTTAGTACAGTCACAATCTCCTGATTGCAACTCTCTTGTAGGAGTTGTGTCAAAAGACTTCCCTTGACTTGTGGATACCTTGTAGCATCCATAGGTCATAAAGTAGCTAGAGAAAAACTAGATTTTTGTTTTTACATGTTCTCCTATCTGGACCATCTTATATACACTGAAATTTACCCACATTTCTTCTGTCTTTCCTATCTTTATCCAGCTACCGTACTAGGCAGGCTCTGAAGACTTCCCTGTGGACTATATATTGTCATCAATGGGTTGCTGAATATTTTGCCTTAACTAAATCACTGCATTCTTTCATTGCAGAAACCACTTCCAATCCCTTACAGTGGGATGGGGAAGCAGAACTAGCAATTGCTCTTTTAAGCATATGTTTTTTGCTGCCCCCACATTAGGATGACCTTTAAAAGAATTACACTGTATTGTGATGAACACCAAGGACTGCAAAGAAGATGCTGATTCAACTGGGTCCTCCACCCCCCAATTCAGGCCAGTGGAATTGCTCTCAATGAAGCTTGATCCAATTGTCAAAGGATTTCCATCTTGTTTCCTCAAATTTCATTCTTTTCTTTGGTGCCTTTTGCCACCAGGATCCCTTTAGAAAATTAAATGCTGGATGTTCTGTGTATTCCCTTCATGCTGTTCTTCTTTGCCTGAGATACTTAAGATTTAGCGCCTGTTGCTCTTACTTGTGCCTGGTACTTGGCAGTGGGACAAAGTGCAACTATTTATGCAGATTCTAAAATATGCTTATGGCATTTAACATTCTTTTGATACTCTCTGGCAGAAGAGACAGTTCCTAACCTCTGCAGGAACCTCAGATTCCCACGCTCCTTTAATTCATGCTTTGCTTCAAGTTCTTTTTGCTATAAAATAGCTATTGTCCGGGGTAAAGCACACAGCAACAGATGACTCTGAAGTTGCTAGTGGAAATCAGCGCACTGGTGGACATACACACTGGCGCACAAAAACCAAGACTATAGTAATCTTAAGAGCCATACAATCCAGAGATTTACTTGGAGCTTACCCTCAAGCTCTTACAAGCCTGCAACCTCTCTTGTGAATACTCCTGTTGGAAATGTGCAGGGAATGGCAGCAGAACCCCCAGGGTTCTAGCAACTTCTGAACAGAGGCCCAGTAGAATTAGTGAAATACATGTTTCGTATAATACATAGGGTGTCTCACACAAAGAGGGGAATGGCTTAGTCTTTTCTGTCTGATTGGTATTCTTTTCTTATCCATCATTGGTTATGTTCATTCTGGATATGCCATTATACAACATGGATTCACGGGAACCTACCAATTCCATAGCCATACTTACGTCTGAGTCTTACAGATGGAATTTGCATTCTTCATGAAAAAGTGGGTTCTGTTTTTGGGTGTCCATGGACCGTACTTTTTAAAGATAGATGGAGATGTACCCTGTTACCATGCTGATGACAGAGAAACAATTAAGCGATTTTGTTTCTAGGGAGACTTGCCTTACTCATCAGATTGTGATACAGATACTCATTCCGCCATTTAGGAAACCAAAACCAATTGCAAAGCTTTGGATGTTAAATTATAATTCTGCATTCCTTATCCCTCAAAGGCTATAATTATATAGAAGAGTAGAACCAAGATATTAAAACCCAATTAAGAAATTGGTCTTGTTAATGGCCAGAGGCCTTCCTTACATTGTCATGGAAATCAGAACATTCCCCAGCAGGAAACTCTCCTCCCCTTTGAAAGTTCATTTAGTTAACAGATGCCAGAACCAACCAACCTCAATCAACAAACTGCAAAAAGAAACTAAGATAACTTGGACAATGTGTTGATCAGTATTGTTTGTCCCTCACATAAGAAACACTTCCAACCACCTGTAGTGACAACATGCCACTCTATATGGCAGTGTTGCTCAACCCTGATGACTTTAAAATGTGTAGACTTCAAGTCCCAGAATTCTCCAGCCAGTTAATCTTAAAGTCACCAAGGATGAGAAACACTGCCCTATGGCCCAGAAACCACATTCTTCTCCAAAGATACTGGAAAAATAATCTGCCTAGGGCTGCACTTGCCAAGTGTTGTTGACCCCTCACATTGCAGTGATCTGCCTGAATGCATCACACTGCTAGTTTTCACTCAACTATTTAGATTTACTGCAGAAACTTTGAAGCCTCTTCTTCAACACAATACTCTTTCAGCTCTTCGGAATTTTTTCTGCTTGCTTATGTTAAATGATCCCTGGCTTTGTATATGAGGGCAATTCAGAAATAAACCTCCATTTGAGCATGTGCGAGAAATAGGCGGGGATAGCGATGCCCGTCCTATGGCGCCGTGCGGAGTAGTTCAGTAGGCAGTGAGGAGTGGAAGGAGAAGGTTGTGTTGCAATTGACTCGTCCGCTAGATCAATTGAAAATGAACCAGTTTTTTAAATGAAACAGTAACTTGCGTCGCACGGCTTCGATGATGACAACGCGCTTCATGATGCTGTTACAGGGTGGCTTCATTCCCAAGTGGGAGATTTTTTTGCAGAAGGAATTTCAAACCTTGTAAGACATTATGACAAGTGCCTCAATTTGAATGGCAATTATGTCAAAAAGTAATGTAATGTTGTAGTTTCTAATGTGTATATTACACGTTCTGTATCTGTGAGTGTCTGTCATTGATAACCAAATGCAGGTTTATTTCCAAATTGCCCTCATACAATTTGAATATTTATGATGGGGTAGAAGATTGAGCCTTGGGACAGAACAAGGGTAGGCAACCTTGGCTCTTTTATGACTCGTGGACTTCAACTCCCAGAATTTCTGAGCCAGTGTGCTGTGCTGGCTCAGGAATTCTGGGAGTTGAAGTCCACGAGTCATAAAAGAGCCAAGGTGCCTACCCCTGGGATAGAACATGCTGATTGCTGTATTTTGCAGAATAGTGAAGCAATTACTTAGGAACCACCCTTCATTAAATTTGAAAACCACTGGCAATGAAATACGTATAGGTTGGAAACAACAGGA